AAAWYCMWYCYYYTTKSCMWKKTTTCCTCTCAATTCTATAAACTATCACATTAATTCTGGTTACAAGATTCTATATGTAAACACCAACCCCAAAGCTAGCAACGATTGTGTACGGATATTAAGCAAAAATATCTTAGCACTAGAGTGACCCATATCATGGCCACAAAATCCAACCTATCCAAGCCAAGCAATGGAAAAATAAACTCTTGAACATGGCATACATTGGCTAGTTGTTGTACTTGGCCATTCGTTTTCCCATCTAACGAATATAGACAAATCCCACAATCATTTTTTTTTATTAACCTGGATATCCAAACCCACTATACGAGCCGACTAGTCTCAAGGCAACCACCTGCTTTCCAAATAGCCCGGGGTTACCGCATTTGAACCTCCGTGGCCACAAGGGGATTTTTATTCCTCCGAGGGTTGTACGAATTGGATCCTCATCGACCAATGTGTTGTCCGGATTGGACCCTCATTGCCCAATGTGTTGTCCTATTGGACCCACATCGCTCAAGTGTTGTCCGGATTAGACCCTCATCGTTCAAGTGTTGTCCAGATATGGTATACATTGCTCAGGGTGGTATCCGGATGAGGATATTCATTGCTCAGTATAGCTCAATATGTTGCTGGATCAGGGTGTTTCAAACTTTAACCAATAAACCTGTTATTATTAATAGATGACGATACTTGGTGGTGTAACCACAATAGATGGCGTTGTAACCGCAATAGAGATGTTTGATAATTATATCATTTACAATCAGGTCTGAACTTTATTAAAGTATTATGGCAGATTTGATTTTCACTCACTAGACCTTTTGGTCTAACCCTCAGTTGTTGTCACAAGTTATTTTGTAGCTCATCCAACACTGAAGGATAAAGGCAAAAGGAAGATGTAACTGAGTCATGGAAAAAAAAAAAATTTGGTATGTTATGAATTTAAGGTTCAGACTTTTGTACTTATCTATGGAATATACTAATATGTTGTAAACTTGGGAACCTGATGTATGCTATAGCATGGTTTTTGATTATTAGTTCTTATTAGTACTTAGTTGGGTTGTTTCAATAAAACATAACAAGACATAAACTAGTTGATTTGGGGATACCGATTCAGGTTTTCTTTTCTATACTTCATAGTATACTTTCTTGAATAATATTATACCATTTTCATTGTTTATATATGTTTCATCGATCACAACAATCCAATGCTCATAATAGAAAAAGGAAAAAGAAGGCAAGTAGAAATTGTTAAATCTATGCAAGGATCTATGAATACATTTATTGTTAGACAAACAAACGTTTCTGAAAGAACAGTAAATGATGTGATGTATTTATTATTTAAAATACTCAAATATATTTTATAAAAATATAAGTTTTTCTATACATTAACTGTAACACCCCCATTCTGAAGGAAGGGAGGTTGCTTCAAAACGTAACGGAACCGATATATAAAACCTCCAAAATATAGTCTCAAATACAAAGATATAAAATAAAATCTTCCAATAACGAAATTGAATATATCTCCAAATAAAAAAATAAAAGTTTCCTAACAAACCACTTCCAGTATCCTCCAACAACTTGAAGAAGAAGAAGAAAAAATCCAAAAGCAACCCTAAAAGAAAATATATTCTAATAGCCAAAAGAAAAAAAAAAGAATAAATTTTAATAAGTGAAATAACATAGCACTAAACTCTCGAAACCTTTGAAACCAAGATCCTGGTCTACTCTCTGTCACAAGACTTAGCCGCCCCCTTGATTACCTGCTGTGAGGAATAAGAAAAAAAAACACGGCTGAGCCAAAAGCCCAGTGAATGGATAAACAATTATTGTAAAATGGTAATACAAAAATGCCAAAAGTTAATCTCAAGACATCGAACCAAATGAGTACCAAAATCTTAGAAAAATCAACAAATAACATAATCATACAAAATCATATGAAGGGACAAATCGAGTTCGAAAACGCATACACTTGCATATTAACTAACAGGACAAGTGTCAGACATATGGCCACACAGGCCTGTACGTTGGACTGCAGATCCACACATACTAAATGTGAGATGTGGCGTTGGACATTACACCGACATCCACCCTAAAAACGAATCACATGTGCTAGGGCCGACCCATACGCCTCCTAAATCTAATATCCATCACACCAAAATAGCTCTCAAAAGAGCACAAAAGAGGAGACGCCGTGGACTGATCACACTGCCACGGTTAGTGTCACGCCACTGGTGCAATAATGACGTGCCTATGGTACCCCCATAGGTGGTTAGTAGCTCGAGTTACCCAGAGTTGAGTTGTCACAACGAATGTGACGTCATACATTCTCAATTAAGAGTAAGAGCAAAACATATCGACATCGAATGAATGATCAACATACGCAATAAAAGAAAACGTTGAAGGAACAAGTAGTGGTAACAATTAAGAGGATCAAATCGAATGGTACGTAACCTATCACATCTACCAACATATGCACACCCAGAGGTGAAAATCATACCAAAATGTTACCGAACAATTAAACGTGTACTAACTCGAATAACTCAAATAGCATGATTAGGACAAGACGCCCTTGCCACATATATATATATATATATATATACATATATATATATATATACATATATATATATATACATAACGTAGAACAAATACGATTGAACGGAAGATGCAGTAATGAACAATTTGGATAAATATGGGCTAAACGAGACTCACGAGTTCATAAGCATATTTAAACGAGCTAACTGAACAAAAAGGTTTAGGAATCCGTACCTTAAACTTCACAAAACTTATCGATTCCCCAAGTTTATTCATTTATATTTGCCCTAAACAAATACCCATACTTACTATTAATCCTAACTGATAACTTGATAACATAATGAAACTAAATCACTTTTAACGACTAATAATGTAACTAAACTCAACTAAATCCTATATATATATATATATATATATATATTCATACTATGCAAACCACATAAGGAGTTTACACAATTGAGACTCGACTCCCTTTCGGACAGCCCCCTCCCAAGTAGATAAGCAGTCTAAACGAAAAGTCACGTCTTTCGGGCGGTTGTAAAATTAGCAGCAAACTCGACTGAAAATCGAG